GCACACAAGCACACAAGGAAAAGGCCACACTATTAGAGAAAAATTGGAATGATGCAATCAGAGAAGGAGGAATGCCAACAGCTTCCAGAAACTTAAAGTACTAAAGATGAATTCTCCCTTAGAGACTTCAGAGGACCTATGGTCCTTTTGATACCATGATTTCAACATGATTTCAACACTGATTTCAGACTTCTGGACTCCAAAATTGTGAGAGAAAGTTCCTATTGTTCTGCCACCCAGCTTGTGGCTTGTTACACCAGCCACAAACAATAAAAGTGTTCAATACAAATTTTCAAAATTAATAGGAATAGGAAACATGATGAAGTCTAGTGTTTTGGTTAGCCTTTCATAAAAGGGAAAAAAAGCGATATTATTTTATTTTTCTCTTCAGGAAAAATGAAAAGGAACCATGATTTATGTTAGGGTTAGGGTTAGGTGAATGTGCTACTCTAAAAGTGTCCAGTGTTCAAACCTCACTAGATGTAAATGAAAAACTCCCATTAATAACATAATGTATAAAGATGAATAGTTTAAACAATTTATATCATATTTCTGCTTTGAGTAAGGCATTCAGCAGATTACTAAAATTAGTGAAGATGATCATTATATATGTGGCTGGTTTGCTTGTGAATCTTTCTGTCATCCTAATTTGTAAATTTCCCCATGGAATACAACAGATTTATAATAAATTTCTCAACATCTGAGGCACAGTTCTATGCTACCAATTTTCTCTTGAGAAAGTGGAATGTTTAAAGCACTTACAATATTAAAAGTTTTGATTTTGCAAAAGGGGTATTTTGGATGTTGTTGGTGGTTACAGATATTTAGCTGGAAAAATAAAGAACATAAACTTTGAAAATACACTTGTATTTTCATTGATACATATAATAATGCTTTCCCATAAACTTTTTAAATAGGAATGTTTCAAAATGATTAACTCTAGGTTAATACTGTCCTGGTCAATTTTTTCCAAAATGATAAATTTGCAATGTATAAATTCCTTTTAGGCAATGTGCATGTGTGCATGTGCATTTATGTGTGCGTGTACAGGGAATTGCTTTCTTTACTCTAAACTTGTTTTGGTTATGTGTCAACAAAGTCAAAGTAAGAGAAGATGTATACACAAAGCAAAACTATAAATCATTCATTTGATCTGAGTGTATTTGAATGAAAGTTAGTATAGGATAACTTTCTTTTGATGTCAAATGCAAGTATTTAGGATTCAGTAAGTTACTTCTTAATACTGGTATAAAAATTGTATTTCAAGATGACTTGCATTCTAACCTAAATGTAAGAAAAAAGAAATTCACCAACTACAGTATCTAAATTACACTCCTGGCATAAGAAGGAAGTATTCTGAATTCATAAATACCCTTTCCTTAACTATACAATAAACACGATACTATAAAAAGTATTAATGTTATTGGAACACTGCTGCTAGGATGAATTTTTTCCAAACTGGTGTTTATTATCAAAAATGATTTATGACAAGTGTTCAGTCAAAATAAATGTAGTGACCACTGCAGGAGGTATTGCCTTGTGTGACTCTACAAAGAGGCTTCTTTCTTTCATTAACTTCAACTTCTGGTTGCTATGGCATCTGGTGACAACCATAACTTCTGGAAATTACCATCATCTGCCCACGCCCCCTTTTAAAGTTGCATACAGGCCTATTGAAGCAACCAAAATAGCAAACAAAAACTCCAGAAGCAATCTCACTGTTCTGTTTTGTCCAGTTACAAGTACCTAAATATATAATATTCAAATTGAAAAATGCCTTTTTATAAAATAAAGACAGTCTTTTCAAAACAGACATTTCCAAGAAAGATAATTCTAATGCTCAATTAGAGAAAATTAAAAGATAAAGAAAAGGGCCAGAACAAATCAGTGGATATTTACAAATTAATCAAAATTAATTGGCATTCCCTTCACAGGACAAAATTGGGAAACTTTAAGGTAAATGTGCATCTTTTTATTCTTTTTAAATGTTATGACTACTAAGAATACAAACGTTGAGTTCAAGATTCATAAATAAGCTACAATTTAAATTTTAGGATTTGAAATTTAGCAGGACTCTTACTTGCATCTTTCTTTGCTATTTTGAGGTTTATACATTTCTCTATTTTGGTTGGTTTAAAAACATCAATTTGTTTCTTTTTAAGGTATTCTTACGACTACAGTCTCTTAGAAATAATGTTTTAATATTCAAACTCACAGGTTGAAAGAGTGGAAATATTAGCAAAGTAGTGCGCTTATAGACAAGAATATAGATGTATAACTTTTCATAAAGTTTTAAAAGACTACATTTTATTTTCTTCATCTTGGAAAGAAAAAAAAATGACATTATATTTTTTAATGAAAGTAAGAAATATAAAAAAAAAGAAACCCGGGCTATGAAGTGCATATATTTATATTAAGTGCCATTCCTCTAATATGAAAACTACTTTCTGGGAGGATGGTATTATAGTTCTTCAGATCTATAAGAATTTTTTTATTACTATTAGATTTCTAATTAATAAGAAAGTGAATAACATGTCCACCATGTAGAGTGAATAATATGTCCGCATTATTATGTACTTCCTAAGATCTAAACTTCTCTATCTTAAAAAGTTTTAT